CCTGTAGTTCCAGCTACTTGGAATGCTGAGGCGGAAGGATCGCCAGAGCCCAGCAGGTCGAGGCTGCGGTGGCCGGGAGTGGCCACTGCACTCCAGTCTGGGCGACAGAGTGAGACTCCAACTCAAAAAAAAAAAGAAAGATAAGTTCCTCTCCAGATAGGACAGGTAGATATTTGCAAACAAAGAAAAGCAGAGTAAGACAAACTACAAAAAGAGTAGCCAGTGGGGAGTGAGAAGATCTTCTGGAAAGTACAGAGGGATAAGGAGGGTCACATATGAATCAGGCCACAAGAGATGGGCAAAAGTTCCTTAGATAGAAAAGAAAAGCAGAGGCCCTCCAGACAGAGGGACCAGTATGAACAAAGGCATGGAGGTATAAGAAAAAAGATGCAAGAAGTAAATTTTCAAGATTGCAGAAGTTGCCAGAAGCAAGTCTAAAACAGAAATCAAAACAGGGGAAAACACCTGTAATTCATATCCAAGGTAAAGAGATAACTTGCTTCATATAAAGAACTCTCTCAAAACATTAGAAAAAACAAGAACACAAATCTAACAAAACAATTGGCCAGCCAGGCTCAGTGGCTCAGCCTGTAATCCCAGCACTTTGGGAGGCCGAGGCGAGTGGATTGCCTGAGCCCGCGGGTTCAAGACCCTCCTGGGCAAGTTGGCGAGAACTGTCTCTACAATAAATCAAAAACTAGCCAGGTGTGGTAGTGTGCGCCTAGAGTTATGGCTACTTGGAAGGCTGAGACGGAAGAATTGCTGGAGCCCAGCAGGTCGAGGCTGCGGTGGCCGGGAGTGTGTTACTGCACTCCAGTCTGGGCAACAGAGTGAGACTCCAACTCCAAAAAAAAAAAAAAAAAAAATTGACAAGGGACGTTAACAGACTGTTCACAGAAAATAAAATACTATCAGATCTTGGACAGAGTAAAAGAGTAATAAAATAATAAAGTCAAATTAAAAGCACTCTGAGATAACAATGTTCTCCTGTCAGACTGACAAAAATAAAAAGTTTAACAACACATTCTGTAGGTGAAACTATGGGGAAACCCATGATAAATGTTACAAATGGGTCTATAAATTAATATGATCCCTATAGAGGAAAAATTGATAACTACAAAAAACCACAGTCTAGCCAGAGGTGGAGGGGTAAGTCAGGGTATCTTCTCCATAGACCTCCTCGTCACCCCATTCCTCATTCTTCATGCAACCTTGCTGAGCTACCCACAAACATCTGGAAGCTGGAAGGAAGGTGACTAGAGAACTGATGTGATGCTTGCCCAGAGGTGTGGGGCCACAGTCGGGGTCTCCTCCCAGTTCTTAGCACATTTCACACATCCTTGGACCTGAATTGATAGTGTGGAAGCAAGCTGAGTAAGTAGATGTTTTTCCCCTGGAAAGTCCAGGAGCACTGCCTTTTCTTCTTTGTACAAACATGATTATTTGCTTACATAAATAATCATGAAAATTCTAATTCCTCTCAGTAAGTAGGTCATAAAAGCATGAAGTGCAGCACATGGGCCAGATTCACTAGGAAAGATAGGGCTAGGAGGGGCAAGGAATGACAGGGAGGAAGGAAGAAGGGTGCCAGGGTTCTGGGTTGCTCTCCGAATCAGGGGTCTTGCCGTCTCTGAAAACATTTCACCTTCTGGCAAATGGGAAGCTGATGATGGAGGGGTCCATTTAAGACCTGTGTTTGGTGGGCAAGTGAGGTCCTCTGGGGACTGAGATGTGACTTTTGACAGTATGCCACCACTCCCTTCCATGTCCTGAGCTCTCACTGGCAGTTGAAAGGACCAGTGTTTCTCTTTCTCTCCAGCCCTTCACCCTCACCACTGGTCACCCAACTCCACCAGCCCTCAAAGACAAAAGAGGGATGAAATCTTTCATCCATAAGATGAATGGGACCCAGGGACTGGGAAGTGTGAGCCAATGTGGTGGTGTGGGGAGACACTAGCCAAAAGGAGCCAATATAATTAGTGCATGAATGTTGGATTTGGATGAGATCTTGGAGCACACGGATATCTGGAATTCCCCATATATATAGCAGATGAGGCTGAGGTTTAGTACCCTCCCAGTTTTGAGATGAGGCCTTTGTCCCAAGGAGGCAATGTACTCCTGAGACACCATTTACTGTGGGCTGCACTGCCACAGTCACAAGTCCAAATCCTTTCCCAGAAGGCCCTTCCAAGGTCCTAATCCAGGTCTTTACAGAGCATTGCTCTTCCAAAATTTTAGCTTACATTCTGCCTAAAAAATTTTTGAAAACTGTGGGCCACTCCACATACATATTTTAGGCTGATATCTAACATTTTTTCATTATCATTCTAATGAAATGCAAGTTGCAAATATAATTTCTGGAATATTGTAAGTATTAGCATTTTAAAATAAAACTGTTATATTACCTTTGTAAATGTATCCAATGAAATCCTAATATCCTAGTGATTGTTTCTTATTTTTATCCATCTAAAAATTACACACACACATTCTTCTTCAATAGTCAGAAATTTCACAAAATTCGTTCTGTTTTTGAGTTGATATTTCTACTCATTTCCCCCATAAAATTTTATACTAGTGTGATATATATTATGCTTTAAAGCATTTTATTGATCATCCTATGATACCTCTTTGAAACAACAAAACTGTGTTTAATAGAAATTTAACTTATATTTTCATGTAAGCATAGGATGCTACTTTTTAAAAATTGTCCTAGATTGAGTTATCATTACAATTATATTAGTATACAATTGATCCAAATACCATAAAGATATTACAAATGTTGATTTTATTTGCAATATATCTTAATGAGATGGGGCTTTTAAAAATTATTTTGTATATTTATATATTACTCCTAATTAGAGAGTTCAACATTGATCTTATTCTTATTTTGGCTTTTTAAACATAAACGGTAAGAAAACTTGTACAGCTGGGCTCGGTGGCTCAGCCTGTAATCTCGCGCCTTTGGGAGGCGGAGGTGAGTGGATTGCCTGAGCCCACGGGTTCGAGACCTGCCTGGGCAGTGAGACCTCATCTCCACAATAAATCAAAAAATCAGCCGGGTGTGGTAGCACATACCTGTAATTCCGGCTACTTGGAAGGCTGAGGCAGAAGGATCACTGGAGCCCAGCAGGTCGAGGCTGCGGTGGCCGGAAGCGGCCACTGCACTCTAGTCTGGGTGACAGAGTGAGACTCCAACTCAAAAAAAAAGAAAAAAAAACTTGTACATATAAGTAATAGACAGAAA